AAAAAAAAAAAAAAAAAAAAAAAAAAAAAAAAAAAAAAAAAAAAAAAAAAAAAAAAAAAGGAACAGATAGAAGGCAGAAAAGTATGAGCAATTAAAAACAGGAAATATGTGCTCACCACATCATTGTCTGTCTGTGCGGGAATTCCCTTGCTTGCTGCAAGGGCTGCAGCATATTCTTCAGCCTATCAAATAGTTCGACAAGTTTTATTAACCTTTCAGTAAAAAGTGAAACATGAAGTTCAAAGGGCAGTTATGTCTTAAGTAAGAAAAAAAGAATAGTGATTGAGAGCCAAGGTCCTCAATTTGGGGCTAAAAGGAGAATAAAGGAATAGTTTATACATAAAAGTAATAAACTAGATACCTTGCGAGCTCGGTTGACCATTATTTGTTCGGCATTTTCTTCTTGATATCTAGCAATTTTTGCTTCAATAGCTTGAACATCTATGCCTTCAATCAAGTTAAAAGCTGCAATATAAAATTTTCTGGTCAAATATGATTCTAGGTAAAGAGATAGAGTAACCATACTGGAAGAGCATACTCATGTCCTCCACTTCTTCCAGATAATCATTGTACTCTCTCAGGGATGGGAAATCATCTTCTCTCTTGTTGAATCTGTAAAAAAGAATACCAAAGACACCTCAGACATTAAATACATGTTCATGTACGCCATCCTAGAACAAGAACCGACTCAATAACATGACCATTGAATAAATTCAAATTGAAACATCAATAGAACACCCATCTATTTTCCACACATTCAGTGAAAGTTTTGAGACCTTAAATGTAGGCCTTTTTGCAGTAAAAAAGTTAACACCACTTCTGTCTTTTGGTTCTTTATACCTAGTTCACTACAAGCATCTGGGAAGGTGTAAACCTTTGCTTCTCCAATTCCAAACATACAATGCAATCATATACAACAATTGTATCATAAAGCAGTGACATGCGGCTACAGGATGCGCACAAGGTTTAAACAAACATAAAGAGTAGAAACAAGAAGTAGAGCAGCAGCATCAGACTTACATGCTAGCAATCCTCCTCCTGATACTGATTTCCTTACTATGAGAAACACCGCTGGAGACAACCATTGTTGTTGCTTTTCAGCTTTTTTCTTTCTCTATCTATATTTCACTTGCTTGCAAAGCCATACCTGCAAAAACAAAAACAAGAAATTGGTGCATCTTTCAAGACACTAAACCAAAATGTGTGGTACTTCTATTCTGAAAAAACAATTTTCATGAAATTCTAAAGTTTGAATCCTGACCAGAATTACTTGTAAATTAATTCAATAACGTAACCACGAGAATAGACCAGTACAGCCTTGCATCAAGAGATGCCCATGGCACGTTAGGATCATTAAAAAAGAAACAAAAGACGGTCAAATACGATTGATAGCTTGGAAACGAATTAGTAAGCTCGTTGAAGTACTGATTCGTTGGGCAAACAGAGCACGACAGAAGAAACTAGAAATCTATAACTGGTTAACCCGTGTAAATTGTTGTGGAGATTTCGACGCGGTATAGTAGTCTCAACTTTGGTTCATCCAAAAAAGATCCTTGCATTATAAAACAAACACTCATTTCAAATTACATAAAACCGAATCTACGCGAAGAATAGACAATTAAGTTGATTTCGGCACAAAATCACGAGCCAAGACTAAAAAATAGTAGCCTCCGAAACACAAGTTTACACATGAAACAGATTCAAGTACATTCAAAGTCGATGTTTCAAACATAACAGCCCGAATGAATGAGAGAAACAGCCTAATTTCATTTACAGTCGGGTGCAAAAAACGACGGAAACGCCCTTCGAAACATACTGATGAAGCAACAAAAGCATAGAAGACAGAAGCTAACTAAAACAATAAGAGTACCTGAACCGCAGTAAAGGTTTCAGATCCTTAGCGGCGGAGACGGTCCCTCAAATGAGCCCTGATTCCTGAAGAAGGGGAGTTTGCTAGTTTGGAGGTGGGAGACCTCCATTGAATAAAGTGGAGAGGGGAAGGTAACAGAAGCAAATTCGAGCCGGGCCTAAGATAGCCCAAGAACATTCGCTATGGGCCTAACATAGCCCAATAACATTCTCAAAGATTGGGCCTAATGTATCCTCATTGCCATTTCATTATCAAACTATCCCTTCCATATCAAAGTTCCCATTTTAGCCCTCCTTTAAACAAATATTAAATCAAAATGTTAATTTCCTTACGCCTAAATTATAGAAAATACCTATAAATATTTAAAAATTTATAATGTTAAAATATATATATATATATATATCTTTATCGTTAATTAATAATTTTTCAAAAATATTTTTTTACGGTTAATTTTCAAAAATATCTATGTATTATACTTTCATATTGGATAATCTTACCAACATTATTTTATATTGTCATTATTTACCATTGTGTGTGTATGACATATAATACAATCGAATAATAATAACTAATATAAAGTTATAATTTTAATTTTAATATCTCTTGGTTTAATGCTGCTTTCCCGAACTTGTTTCCCATTGCCTCAGCGAGTCCAGGATTTGGCGGACAAAATTGCATTCAAAGCCGCAATATTCAAATTTCATTGCCTTTCACATTTGTTTCAAAGGGTATATAAGTAATTAACAAAGAAAACTGATATTTATCGATTTGAACCAAAAAAAATAAAAAATAAAAGCCTTCCACGATTATTAAGGAAACGCCGACGTTTTAGCGGCGGTTTAAATTCTAAAATTCAACGCTTCTATTTTTTTTTTAATTATTAAAATTTATTACAAACCAAAAATTCTATCCGATCGAAGTTGTTGAATTTTTTTGGTCCACTTTTATATATATTATAATAATGATTCCTATCTTTGTAGTTTGGTTACTAGCATTTGAAAATTTGTTAGTTGAAATTACAATACTAGTCTTCATAGCTTACTAGCTAGCTACCTTTTTCCTTTTTATTTTTGATAATTTCATTAATTTGGTTCTAAATTTACATATTTGTTAGTATCAACCTAATTTCTTAGGGTTGAATTTAGAATGGATTTCAAAATTAAAATATATCCAAATGAAATGAACACACACTTCAAGTTGCAAAAATTAGTTGACATTGTGGAGGTTTGAAAAATAAAGCACATTTTTGTTTTACGTTCATTAATTTTCTCGAAAAGGGACCCAATAAAAACACCTTCAAATGAAAAGGTATTATAGGGTTTCAAATATTTAAGCTGCATTTACACCATACTCTATCTCATCAATTATCCAATTTCGACCACAATAAAGACTAATATACCATGATTGAAGCCAAGCCCACCTTTCTTTTATTTAATTTTAAATAATAATAATAATAATAAAGAAATTTTCTTCCCTTAACAGCACATAATCCACTAATTTCATCCCAATCCCACATTTCCACCATTTTTTTCCCCTTTTCTTTTCAATCATTATTTAATTATGTACTTTCAATTTTAAAAATTGGGGGTAGCCCTTTCTACTGTTGCTGACGTGTCGGCCACCATATTTATTCACACCCTAAACCTATCCTACGCGGCGTGTGTAATTTCACGTGCTCAATCCCTATTCGTCCATTTCAAAGTCAAACATCACACGCGCCACGAAACCTCCTCCTTCCCTCCCTCCCTCTCTTTTTTTCATATTTTTGGAACGAAATATTTTAATTTAATTAATTTCCTTTTATTTTTTAATAACTGTCTCAAACTTTCACATATAGAAAAATATTGTATTTTAATTATTAAACTTAAATTTCTTCGTGTTTAATTATTTTGATTTTTCATTAAATTTTAGATTTTGTATCTATTAATTTCTTAAATTTTATTTTTGATAAAATAATACTAAGTTTAATAAATAACAATAGAAATGATTAATAATTCTTCTCAAATAAGGAGAAAAAAAATAAAAAAAATAATTATGTTGATATAATCACTATTTTATCATGTGACAAAAATATGATTCCAAGTCAAAATCTCGTAGTATCACATTTTATTTATTATTCTTAAGCATTGATTTGAAAATAAAATGAAAACGCAACTGGTTGCCAAAAGTCTTTGTAGAGTCAAATATGATCTTTACTATTTTATTAGCCATTTACATTCCTTTGCTACCCTTCTTCTTAAAGCCTCTGTTCATGCCCCCTGTTTCATTAACACCCCCATCTCCTTCTCTCTCCTCTGTTCTATCTCCAACTCCATCCTCAACAATGGAGTTCTGCAAATTCTGTGCTTTCCTTTTCCACTTCTTCGCAATTCTTTTACTAAACAGAGCTTCTGCTCAACAAGAAGCCTCTGTTGATGGCGATTCTCAGAAAGCAGCATTGCTTTCGTTCAAAAACGCCATCGTTTCTGACCCACAGAACTATCTCAAGGACTGGGAAGCTTCTTCAACGCTTCATTTCTGCAATTGGGCTGGCATTAACTGCAATAATTCAACCCAAGAAATCGAAAAGCTCGATCTCAGCGATAAATCCCTCAAAGGGACAATTTCTCCATCTCTTTCTTATCTATCTTCCTTAACCATTCTCGACCTCTCTAGAAACTGGTTCGAAGGTTCAATCCCAATGGAGTTGGGGTTTCTTGTTAATCTTCAACAACTCAGCTTGTCATGGAACCGCCTCCATGGAAAAATCCCCACAGAGCTCGGATTTCTTCAGAAATTGGAGTTTCTCGATCTGGGTAGCAACAAACTCGACGGGGAAATTCCTCAGATGCTGTTCTGTAATGGGTCGAATTTGTGTTTGAAATACATAGATTTGTCCAACAATTCATTAGGCGGCGAAATCCCTGTAAGAAATGAATGTCATTTGCCAGAGTTGATGTATCTGTTGCTTTGGTCAAACAAATTGGTGGGACAGGTTCCTGCGGCGCTTTCGAACTCCGCCCAGTTGAAATGGCTGGATTTGGGGTCAAATAAGCTCAGCAGGGAGTTGCCTTCTGAAGTTGTTGCCAAAATGCCATTGCTGCAGTACCTTTACTTGTCTGACAATGAGTTCATCAGCCATGATGGTAACTCAAATCTCCAACCCTTTTTTGCTTCTTTGATGAATTCTTCAAAGCTTCGAGAGCTTGAGTTAGCTGGAAACCGTCTTGGTGGAGAGATTCCTTCCATTATCGGTGATCTTCATGTCAATCTCTCACAGCTTCATTTGGATGGCAATCTTATCTATGGCGCAATCCCTCCTTCCATTTCAAACCTTAAAAATCTTACCCTTTTGAACTTGTCTAGTAACCTTCTTAATGGAACGATACCTTCTGAGCTTTCCAGATTGAGGAATCTCGAGAGGTTTTATCTCTCAAACAATTCAATTTCTGGTGAAATCCCATCTTCCCTTGGCGAAATTCCTCGTCTGGGTCTTCTTGATTTGTCTCGAAACAACCTCTCTGGTTCAATTCCAGAGGCTTTGGCTAATCTTTCCCAGTTGAGAGAATTGGTTCTTTATGGAAACAGTCTCTCAGGAACAATCCCATCAAGCTTGGGAAAATGCATCAACTTGGAGATTTTGGACCTTTCTAGCAACCAAATTTCAGGGGCTATTCCTAGTGAAGTTGCAGGATTAAGAAGCTTGAAATTGTATTTGAACCTCTCAAGCAACCATTTACAGGGGCCGTTGCCATTGGAGCTCACCAAGATGGACATGATCCTTGCAATCGACTTGTCCTCCAACAATCTCTCAGGTTCAATTCCATCTCAGCTTGAAAACTGTATTGCACTAGAAATCCTCAATCTATCGGGCAATTCCTTTGATGGGTCTTTACCAATTTCAATTGGGGAACTCTCGTATCTCCGGACATTTGATGTTTCTTTCAATCAGTTAACTGGGAACATCCCCGACAGTCTTCAAACATCTTCAACTCTCAAACAGCTCAACTTCTCCTTCAACAAATTTTCAGGGAAAGTCCCAAACGATGGAGTGTTTTCATGGCTGACAATCTCATCGTTCCTTGGAAACAATGAACTCTGTGGCTCAATCAAAGGCTTACCGAAATGCAGAGAGAAGCACAAGCGGCATATCCTCTCAATTTTGATGTCTTCATCAGCAGCTTTGGTGTTCTGTATGATTGGGGTTTCATTAGCAGCTCTAAGATCCAAAATGAGGAAACGTTTCGCAGTTTTCAACAAAAGGGATTTGGAAGAAGGTGAAGAAGAAGAAGAAGAAGAAGAAGAAGCAGAGAGAAAAGAAAGAAAGTACCCAAGAATCTCATACGGACAACTTGTGGAAGCCACTGGTGGGTTCAGCTCTTCCAGCTTAATCGGCTCCGGAAGATTTGGAGATGTGTACAAGGGAATTCTAGCAGACAACACCAAAATCGCAGTGAAAGTTTTGAACCCAATTAGAACAACAGGGGAAATCACAGGGAGTTTCAAAAGAGAATGCCAAGTTTTGAAAAGAACAAGACATAGGAATTTGATGAAGATCATAACAACATGTAGTAGGCCAGATTTCAAGGCTTTGGTTCTTCCATTGATGTCAAATGGGAGCTTGGAAAGCCATATGTATCCAAGGCAGGGACAAGAACAAGAACAAGAACCCAATTGGTGTAAGATTGATTTGGTTCAAGTGGTGAGCATTTGCAGCGATGTGGCTGAAGGAGTGGCGTATTTACACCATCATTCGCCGGTCAAAGTGGTGCATTGTGATCTTAAACCAAGCAACATTCTTCTTGATGCAGACATGACTGCTTTAGTCACTGATTTTGGAATTTCCAAATTGGTGAGCGGTGGAGACGATCAAAATGATTCGGCTTCCTTCAGTTCAACTCATGGCTTGCTCTGTGGATCCGTTGGTTACATCGCTCCTGGTAAGTTCACTAATTAAACGAATTACAGTTGTATTTATGGCGTAAACTCATCTTCTCCGCCTTCAAAAACGCAGAATATGGCTTAGGAAAAAGCGCATCAACAGAGGGGGATGTGTTCAGCTACGGAGTACTTCTTTTAGAACTCATAACAGGGAAACGGCCAACAGACCATTCTTTCC